AATTGAAAAAATAAGTTCACAAGAGAGTCGATTTACATTTATTCAACCATCAATTTTCATTTCATACAGAAACCGAAATAAATTATACGCGTAACATATGTGGCCCTTCAAATAAGAAATCCATTTTATTACGCAAATGTAAATTGCTTTGTACAAGAATAATTATTCATAAGTTCTTCAATGTCTAACTGACGCGTTTTTTTTAAATATTGTTAATGTTTAACCATCAATCATATACCTTATCAATACCGTTGGTAATGCCAATAATGCGAGTGACCTTAATGTCAATCGCTGCCCACAGTGCAAATAAACTTAACACTTTTTAAACCGTCATTGGAATGGCCTCCCCCGTTATGGGTTTCCAGATAATAAAAAATAGGGTTTGATTCGAGTCACGTACATAACGCTTTAATTTTTTGGACTCAATTACCCTGCCAGATTTGCAATAGAAGCACAAAATATTTTACGTGTTTCAAAAATATTTTACGTGTTTCAGAACGATGTTTCGATTATATTAAATATGTAACAATCTCTCATTCATTAGTACTGATAACTAATTTTAGCCCAATATAGCGCAGTTTTTTCCGAACTAATTTTTGATTTGATTATCGTTACTGAACTAAAATTTGCAAAACAAAGTCACCACCATAAGGTTATTTGATTTACAGCTAAATTTCAAAAATACTGATTAAAAATGATTATTAGCTATCCAAACAACGAAAACGAGCTAATGTTTACCACCATGCCTAAAAAATCTGTTGGCGTGAAAAAGTGTCCAAGCGGCTGCTAAAATTTCAATTATTACGTCACCGTTGACATCACGCTGATTAGACAATATTACGAAAATAAACAAGGAGGTCGATGCCCCGGGAAACGTCCTTTAATAAAATAGCATTTATTGTCTCTGCCAGAGTCTGTGCAAATAGTTTTCTGTCTAATTTAAATTTATACCGGAGTCTACATAATAAAATTTATAAGGCTCAGTACCATTTCATAGCCTAGTGAAACACGGACTCAATCATAAACCATTATAAGAAGACCTCTGACCACAAATCAAAAATTTCTGGTTTAAAAATTTATTTCTCTTCATTGGGACAATATTATGTACCACATACACATGGGCACAATAAAAAGTTCTGTCTAGTGAATTATGCATGTTTAATCTCATTTCAGAAAACGGGGCGAAAAACATCGAATTTCGATTTCAAAAACCTCAATCGGAACATGGAATTCCGCATGTTCTTGTCACGGGGATCGTGTTACCCGTGTTCAATTATAAAATTCGCGACGTAAACTCAATCGGAGAAAATCACGAAGTAAATGGCTGAATATTTTCAAAACTTTTCGGGGTATGCTAGGATGAGGTATTGAACAATAAGTCCTGTCGCCTCCTCTCTTTCTTACATCGGATCGAACCCGTATATGATCGTTGCGTTGATTAAGTTATATCTTGTTTTGTCTAGTTAGACTATCATCTAACGGAAGCTAACAAATATACTTGCTATTTCGTGGATAGAGAGTATGTTATTCTTTTCATAACTTGATCCATAAAAAAAAATCTGCAATAGGCTGCATTCGCATCTGTATGTACTTATATAAAAAACTACGTAAACTGCGATAATACTAAAAACAAACGGCGAAGAGAACAAAAAGCGCTGGAAATCTTATCACACATCCAACCTTTCTAATTCAAATACTAGAACGCTGGTATCAGTGGTTTACCGAGGACGGTTCGTGATGCATGCTGTCATTAATTAACCGCTACGTTTTGGTTCTGCCTGTCAATACGACTCCTGTAAGATTTTAATTGGCTTGTGATATTTTTATACCTCGTCTATCATGTATGATAGATTTGGAAGTATTGTATTATAAAAACGTGCAAATAACACAAAAACAAGATCTACACTTAGTACAAGGCTAGGTAAAAAGTATGCAATTCTTGCATTATGGGTATATTATTTTTGAAAATGTTGAATATTTCCGATTGTCAGGGCATAAGAATATACTCAAAATGCAAGTTTACTGAGAGTTCAAAGAAGGTTCGCATACGCAAAAATTTCTGATATCAAAATTTGAATTTTTTGGGGTTCGGAGATGGCGTTGGATTTTTTTAACCCGGAATTCAGAGTAGAAATCCAAATTTTTCTTAATCCGGAGCCGAAGACGATTATTTTTCCGACCCGTATTTAGAGTAGATTGTGATTTTTCCCTTGATTAAAACCACATATTTACTCCACATGACGATGAAATCTATTTTTTTTACATACTTTTAATATCAGTTTTCGACAACCAATTTAAATTTCGAAAAATATTCTTTCTAATACTATTTGGCTTTACTATTCCTTCCTGTTTTATCGTCACAACTAACCTGCCTGTTTGTTCTCCTTCGTCACTTAAACCGAAAGTATCAAAGAATTTGGCACTGTAACTCCAACCTTTGGACTTCACAATACCAATACCATCAAGTTCCAACAAGAAATAACGCCAAATTATCGATTACATTACATTACTAGCCAACAAATCCAATTTTATTTGTCTTCAGCTCAACGCTTCAACGTAACCTAAACTCCAAAACGATTCTGCGGGCTAAGTTTAGAACAAAAATATTTGTAGACTGCAAATAGATTTGACTAATTCCAATGAATAGCGGTGAGATGTAAAAATGTAAACATGTCAAAAATTCCATAAAATAATTCTCTTCCGTATTTAAAGAATGTAATTCACTAAATATAGTAAAATATACATGCATTTTTGAGTTAATCCTACGTCCAATGGGTTTTCTAACATAATGTAAAAAAAAAAATATTCACAACGTCACCTCTTTCAAAACGAATAAACCGTGCAATTGTAAAACAAACGGCATAAAATTTCTTGTGAATTTTATTTTAAGAATCGAGCGCTTTTCATTATTTTTCGATTGGAACATGACACTTGTATTGTCAATAAGCCACTCGGGGGAAAATTTGAAAATATAAAATTATAGATTTCTAAAGACTTCTTCCATTTTGCGGAGGCAGAATTTGTTATTGATTGGTCAATAGTTACGAAAGTTACGAAAAAGTTACGATTTTTTTCATTACCAACAATATTTCATCAAAATAATTCATATGTAGGTGTCCAGTGACGTTTTTTAACAGCTTCGTGTATCTATTTCAGATTAAGCTAAGAAATAACAATTCATAAGATGAACAATATGATCGAATTTAAATGTGACAGGTCCGTGACATAATTTGCAAATGGATCGGTTACAAAATAGCATAATACATCATGACATGGTAAGTTCGTGGCACGCTGGCATAATTTATGAGCGAGACGAAAAGAAATGACGAAATAGAATAAATTTAGAAATGCGATGTAATACATATCCACGTGCCTATTCAATACTAATATAAAAAAGTTAAGTCATTTTTTTGGTAATATATTTCACAATAAAAGCTTGAAAAAAAGGCGCTCCAGAAGAGTGTGTACCAATATGGAGGTAACTAATTTTGTTCGCCTACTTTAAAACAAGTTGTGTAAAGGGACTGAAGCCTACAGACAGGGGGTATATTCACTTGGCTAACACAGACAAACCCCGAACATAAGAAAAATCGGAATAAAATTGTAAGTGTAATTTCTTCCCGAATTTTCATTTAAGCCCTAATGGGCCCGATAATTAATCCATAATTTGAATGTTTATTCCAATTCTTTGAAACAATTATTTTTTTGATGAATGGAAATACTCCATTCCACCACGCTTGTCAGTCAATTTGTTCGGTAAACTTCGCACTTATTTGCCGGTGCTGATGCGCGTCCTTTGCGGTCCGCTTTTTTGAACATTGCTCACTTGTCAGAATGAACATACAAGTAACGGAAAAATTCGACTGTTAAATGTAATCCACCAATGACAAAAAACATTCGCGAAGTAGAATCAGAAATTCTCAACTAAATGAAGAAACAGTCTCAGTAACCTCACAAAGCTTTGTGCAACAAAAGAAAGAAAGAATGCCATAGATTTTCTTGTTCTACTTAAGTTAATCGGAATAAAAAATATTCAACTTCGGAAAACTATAAAATATCCAGTCCTAAAATTCCTTTGTTTTTTGTCTAATTTACCAATATTCTTGTAAAATATGTGGGAAAGTGTTCGTAGCAGCAAGTACTGTGAATACGAAACGTTCTAGCCTTTTTTAAACGTAAAATTACATAACTGCACATTATACCCTGTGAAGCCTTTCCCCAGCCATCAGAAATGAAATATTGTGACTGGATTGAAAAACAAATTTGTAAATATCGAAAGTCTAACAAATATGGCCCACATTAAATGTGGATTTTATGTCAGATTTTGCTTGATGCACTGCTATAGTACTAATCTCAAAAACTTCTTCGGATTTCCAGAAATATATATCTTATCCGCCACAAAAACCACGAGTGTCCTATTCAAAATTCACTCAAGTAGGCTTAAGTGAAAGCTTAAAATTTTCAGGTTTCCGTAAATCTCTTTTCACTTAAAGTCAACTTAAAACTTATGTCAGTTTTTTATATTTAAAATGAAAATATAGTTATAATATGACAAAAAGTTCACTTATGAAATTATATCCCATGACTTATTTCCATTCTTCAGATATAATAGGAGTTGATGGTGTTGAGAAAAATAGTTTGAATATAGAAAAGATTCGTAACCTTTTTCATACAATGATAAAACAAATTAATGTCAAGTTTGTTTTGTAGTAAAATTAACATCTTCATTTGTTGAGTTTTTAGATTTTTAATTTTCATTGTTGTTTTGAATTTGATGTTGCAATGATTTTAGCTCAGTTTTATAAAAATGTTATGCTATGTCTGTCAAGTAAATCTGGAATCTTGTGAAGTTCATTGCTGGCATTGCTGATTATTTACACTTTCTCGTATCATTTTTCTTGTAATCGATCATGAATGATGAATAACTGAAGCTTAGGTTTGCATTATCCACGATCAAAACTGGCCTTAGAAGATTACAACCATTAGCAATTTTCACTTACCTTGATTCATTGGTCCAATACATGACAGTGGCACCAGTCCTTGGCATGACACTGGGCTTGGGTCACGCGGCAGTGCACCAGGTGTCAAAGGTGGGTTCAATGACTTTTGACCTTCGTATGTCGTGGGTGTAGAGTTGGTGACTCGGACAAGAACAAGATTATCGTCTCTTGAGTTGTCCATGACCTCCAATGTTTGACCACGCCGGATGGACAAGTGGTCTGGACGATTTGGTGCATAATCTTGAGTGGCAAGAACGAAGTCATTGCTCATAAACTGTTGAATATAATGAAGTAACATTTTTTTTATTAGACATAGGATTATACTACATAGCAAGAGAGCAATGCTAAAATATATGGAAACCAAGGTCGAATGACCGCGATGTCAGCAAAATTCTAGCCAAATGTTAAATGATTTGTACCCTATATTATATGCAGGGATTTCCACGAATTATAGAGAAAAGCATAATTAGTTGATGGAAAGAAAGCAATTTTTTTCTTCAACAACAACAACAACCCTTAACATCTCAACAACAACAACAAGAACTTTTCAAAATAGTCCATAAAAACTCAAATTCACTCAAATTCATGCCCAATAAAGTTCGTTGGAAAAAGATATACACCATGTAATAGCAAATAATATTGTACTCTAATAATATATTAATATAATATTGCAAGCTACTAATACTGTAATATTGTACTATATAATTTTTTCACACTCTTAAGCACCTACCCTATCATTATCTGCATTCTGTGAATGTCTGGAATAAAGTGAAATAGAATCAGGTTGTCCACCACTGCTTGTTTCACTCATTTTATCTTCATCTAGTAAACTTGCACTCGACCTGACAAAAATAAGTCGGAAATTTAATACAGTACTCGCACAATTGAGATGAGGGAAGATGTTCAGAATGAATCGAATAACCAATATAATCAAAACGGGTGATATTCGATATAGTAAATTTTGGATTTTAAAAAAACAATTTGGATTATTTTTATTCAAATATTTAGCATGTCTAATGATCGGACAAAGAATAAACTTAGTGCAACTTCGAAACACTGTAAAAAAGTGAATATTGATCAAAACGAGTTTATGTTAAAATATCCACATTATCATAATATGAATTCTCAATTAGGTAAACTTTCCCCCTTGGACGTGGTCCATTTTAGGTCATTCTACTATTAAATAGAAAAAGTATTTTCAATAAATGTTCGCTGATTGATGGTCAACTTGAAATTGATTTATATCCAATAGGTAACAAATGAATAAAGCTATAAAACCAAGGATTCATGAACGTTCAACAAATTATGATAATGAAAATAGATTGTAACTTAAATAAACATATGAATAAAATCGTAAAAGAAATTGGGTAAAATATAAATGAAAGATGGAAAATATGTTAATAACTGAAAAATGAATGAAAATAAAGGAAGATATGTAAAATCTTACCTATGTTAAGTATATAAAAATTTCAGAAACACATTCTGTGAATATATATGACATGATAAAAGTAAGAAATGAGAATAGAAAAGTACATGTGTACAAGTGGGTATTCATACTCCTGTAGTATGTGTACCAGGTTAGGGTTAGGCCATAATTTTTTTCCGATTTTCCTTATTTTAGTTCTATTACGAGCTCGGGGACTGTCTGGGTTAGCCAGGTGGATATACCCCCAGCCCATATGCTTCCGTCCTTTTTACACAACTTAATGTAGAGAGGACGAACTAAGTTAGTTACCTCCATATTGGTACACATACTTCTGGAGCACCTACAAGTGTTTATATGGAATGGCTTTATATTACAATGGAGTGATTTTTCCCCATGTTGTTCAAATGCTTTACAAACGAGGATCTTCACAATGATATGAATGAATATTAGTGTATTACATTTAAAATTTATTATTTGTATTCATTCGTATGATCTAAAATGGGAACACACCGCTTAGATCTGGAGGAGTTTCTGAACGCTGTAGGTTTAGGTAGTTGCAATGTATCTTTCATATGTTCTCGAGCTTCTTGGATTATTTCTCGTAGTTTCTTCACCCATTCCTAAATATTGAAAATAGGATAGTATTTTTTTTATATATTCATGATTGAATAAAAGATATAATAAAATAAAAAATGAATTAAATGAAAAAGTTCTAGAATTTTTTTTATACCTTTTACTCAGTTTTCGGTTGTTTTCAGTTCGAAATTTCCTAATCAATTTATTACAACCTGGGGAAAGTGGTGAGCATAGGATTTGAACGTTGAATGCCAACATGGTTAATTTCAAAGCTGCACCAGCAACAGACTAGTCAAACCACATTTAATGAACACAAGACTAAAGAGATCTAAAACTGGATACCACTGGCATCGCAATAACATTCTTACCTACCATATAATCATTTTAACTATTGCTGAAACCACTAACATTTTCAAAAGTAAGTCCATGTACCTGTTTTACATCATTAGAACTAGCTTTCAATGTTAATTTTCCATCGCTCGCTTTTCCTCCCCAAATCATTAACTTGCATTGATCTCCTTCAATAGTGTCTGACACACCGAGTTCATTGGCCTAAAAAATAAGATAAGCGTTGTAATTGTGATTACATTACATGTAAGTCGTTAAACAAGTGATTGAAGACGGTATCATTATATATTATCTTCGATCCAGAACCTTAGTATACCGTTCATCAATAGCGAGATTAATTAAAACAAAAGAAGAAAGCTATAATCAGAAATATGGCATTTTGAAAAAAAAAATTTACTAATCAACTAAAACTGTTAAGCCATTATATGTTTCATCAATACAGCCTATATATAATATTTTGTAACAGATGTGTTATTACCTGAAGTTTATATTTGAATTGATATTTGCTTTTCCCAGCATTATCCTTTCCTTCCTTGCAAACCAGAACTCCTTGTTCGAACAGAAATAAATTTCTATCCCGACCTTTGCGAATCAATTGCTTGGTGTCAGAAACCTGAACATGAAAAATTTGCTAGAATTAATATTGTTCGTCAAATTAAGATCAGTCTAACGTAAATTATAGAAATTGAAAACGAGGCAAATCCTGTCAAATAACCAGAATTGTTTGATTATTACCAGTTCACAATTAGATAATAGATACCTGAATGGGTGGGATAAGATTTTTCATTTTAATCCTGGGGGTAAAAAGCAGGCGTACCGCAGCCTCTCGTTAACTTACCAGCCCATGTCAGATATGGGATTAGATAACCAGTTATGTGCTTCAGATGCATGGACATGATGGTGGGGTACAAGGGCGTAAGCCAAGGGAGGGGCGGTTTGGGGGTCGGAAGTGGAATAAGGCGAAACCGACCAGCGGTGCAAAGAGGTGGCAATCATATTTCAAACACGAAGCATGATGCGCTAACGTCTGGAGGAAACTGATAAGCAGTTGTGTGAAGCACCCTTGAGTCGTGTAATCAATGGTACAATGATAAGTATGTTTCTATAAAGTATTGTAGCATAGGCCACCCTTTGATCATACCAATGCCTAGATCAAAATACAATGAATCTACCTGGAATACATCTTGTAAGATGACATCACCCATGAATGCAATGTCCTCATCGTAACCTTCGATCAAACTAACGTGCAAAGCATCGTTAGCTTTCCTAGGTATCGTCATCATCACTTCTAATCCATCTTTAATTTCTCCTGGTTCATCTTTACAACAAGCCAATAATTCCTGGAACAAGAAGAATGAATGTTAAGAAATTAAGTAAAAGTAAAATTCCTTCTCCCCTTGATTTATTTTGACTTTTGCAAATACTTATGATTTAAAAAGCGGAATGCTTCTGAAAAGGAATTTCAAAGTAGAATTATGGATGTTGATGCCTGAAATTGATTGCATTTCAAATTCACATAACTACAGTTATAGCATGCGACGACGCCAATTTTCTTTTTTTATTAATGACTAACAACGATCCGTCTCTCTGTAGTAAGAGCATACTAATATCTATTGTGCAACAGAGGACGTAGCAATCGCAAGAATTTTACAATCTGCTATATAATCAATGCCGCATGTGGTCATGTACTTCAAAGAATAACGGTATGTGAATTTCTTGTCTGCAATGTTTACCCACAAGACAGGTCAAAGGTCTAATTTACCCCCAGTCACGAAGAACACATTAAAAGATGGTACCAAAGCATATGAATTACATTCACCTTCAATAATAGTTGATATTTGGTGATTCTCTGTACCGGTTTGATAAGATATGAAGCGATTGAATTTGATAAATTCTTTGCTGCTTGGATTTGTTCAAAAAACTTTCCGGCGTGTTCGATGAGAAGCTGAAACAATGAAAGAATTTTATGTTAAACAAGCCGGTAGGAGGTCAAGGGTTGATCGAAACACGAAACATAACATCAATCCAAGCTTTGTGTGAAACGTACATAACCAATATCACATGATAACCAAGGTAAGGGATGTTACCCAGATTGATTTAGTTTTTTTAGATTCTCCTACAGCTGGCAGCCATTTAATTAAATACACAGACAGACAAAATGATTGAGAATAAGGCTAAAGCAGAGATCCAATTATACTGGATAAGTTTAGTTTGTCTCTGAGTGTATAAAAGAACCTACGGCTTAAAAACCCAAATATTCAAAAAGATGTGCAATTTGGAAAGACGATGCAACACAGCAAGTTGTCGTAACTTTTCGGTTGAGGGAATAAATTAATTTAAGGGTTTCAAGATAAAAGCCTAAATATTAAAAGTAAAAAAAAAAAGAAAAAATAAAATTCATGAAATGGATTTAAATTTTTATCATTTCCACGGATACACACTAAGGCTATTATCATTTAAATTGATACCTATTAAATAATTCATGAATAAACCCGAAACAGTAATCAAATTAACTAGCCAATGCAGTGAAATAATATCTGAAATAAACCGGAATAATGGGATGATGACAAAATGAACTAAATGTGGTTTGTTTTTTTTGAACAGATGAACATCACAGCCTGATATGCAAACTGTCAAAAAAATAAATATAAAAACATGTACAGGAATTAAGTAATACAATGTGTGAGCGGCTATTGCAGCCCTACTACTCAGTGTGTTGGCACAACTTTTTTTCAAAAAAATTTCCTCAGAGGAAAGTGACATACACTCACTCAAAAACTACATAAAAGTGGTAGTGCATTACTCAACAGTAAGTACTGATTGACGAGAAACTTGAAGCAGTAAAAGTCAATATGACCAGGAAAAAAACATAAGGTTGCTAGTGTTATGGATATCCACATATGATAGGTATAGTACATGACTGTGCAACATTTTTTGTTGGTGGGCCATAAAAAAACTCACAACATCTAGTAGGATAACACAAAAAATACAAAATGCAGTAGCAAGAACCAGAGAGCCGAAGGAAAGGCAAGAGAATAGCATGTGACTATCGCTTAGCCTCACAGTTGATAATACACTGTCAAATCGACGGAAGACTTAACGCAGCGACACGAGCATTCACCCATGTGAGTGCCCGTTTAAACAATTACCGTAATTAAGATGTCAAATAATACACATACCTGAGTTGAGTCGGGCTTGTTCTTGCAAAATGTAACATACATATTAAAATCTTGAGCCCATGTTACGAAACAATGTCCAAGATCTTCAGGAAGTTGTTCATATTTTTCTAATTCTTTCAGAAATGTTTCACTGTAGAACGAGAAATGTAACGTTTTGGTACTTAGGCTTATATGCATTCTATTTGAACATTTTATGAAAAACTTTTATAATAATAATAAATAGTCTAATATATGCCATATCAACTGCGTGGTAAAACGTCGATTTCAATTATTTGACTAATTTCTCAAGCCACCACAAACAGTAGCATACTAATGAATATATTAGATTCATGAATGTGAAACAACACAATCCAGATGATGAGTATTGTACTTTCGCTCTACTGAACAGTGATGAGCTTATGTATATCTGATGGATTGTGTAAAGTGATGACAACTGGTTGGTAGGTATAGGTTTGTGGTATATGGAAAAGGATGACAGTTGGTGATTGTGGCGTTCTGCTATGGTTCGTTGTTATGGTCAGTTAATAATAATTTTCATGATCAATTAATAATATTGGTTAATAATACAAAATCCAACAAGCGAAAGTAAAAATGTATTAGGTAAAATAAATAAACAAATCAAAGCCAAATCTGCCTTAATTAAATCTAGATTCTTGTTTGAGGTGGTGAATCAAGGGCCAAAAATTTTGCCCAACTGGACTGGCGGGCCATGTGAATATGACAAAGTAACATTTCATGAACAATATTTACAGTGTAACAAAAGCAAAAGTGGAAAATATAAGCCCTGTTAGTGCCAAAACCAAATTTAATCGCAATCTCAACAAATTCATTGAGCTATTTTTTAGCTAAAATATCAAAATTTGGTTTTAGTTTGGTTGTGACAGCATCAAGCGGGCCAGATTGAATCACCCAACGTGCAAAATTTGGCCCGCGAGCTGTAGTTTGCCCATGTCAGGTCTACATCCTTGTGTGAGGTAAAGATGTAAACAAAACCACCTTCGTAAAAACTTTATTTATACAACAGAACAAAAAATATTTGAAACTTACTTATGGAAGCTGAATATTTGATCGATATTTCCGAAAATTATGTTTTCTTTTCCACGAATTCCCATTGGTATATCGTATCTTCCTGATTTCATCTCCGATACGTAGTGACGTATGCAATCATCCAAATCTTTCACATATCTGGAAGTAAAAGCGATTATGAAATTAAATGTCGGGAGTGGAAATCGTTTATTCTACTAAACATTTTTAACAGTCTATGGAGGAAGTCTTGCATATGCCAAAGTTTCATTATTAAAATTTGATTGAGTTAAATAATTTCTTAACCTGGAGTCGGGTGTCGAAGGCAAAATCTTTTTCAACCCAGGGTCAAGGGTCAATCGTAAATTTTCTCAAGACTTCAAACCCCAAGATGAAACTACCGCAATGAAATTACCCTGTCTCTTTACCCCAATAAAGTCAAACCAATACATACACTCTCTCAGTTTGTAGTAATTCTGTCATGATACATTCCTTTCTTCTTTGTAGCCTGCGTTTTTCTTCTTCAAGCTGTGTCAAAGGTCGATCAGAATTACTTTGAGTCGCCTGGGCAGTGGTAGAGGGAGCTAGAGATTGAGAACTTGTTACTGTCGATTGTGATGTCACAGAGATATTTGATCCAGAAAAGTAGCCTGATGATCCTTCTGTCATAATGAAAGGTTATATAAAAATCTTTGACTATTTTCTGTAATCAGTGTTAGAGAGGCTTGAGTCATTGAAACGACTCGTTTCGAGTCACTTATCAAAGACTCACAGTGACTCGAGTATAAATGAAAGGACTCTGACTCACCATCAATTAATCGCCAGTGAAATTTAACTTATCGATTGTAAATATGTGTTATGACTGTGTGTCGCAACCTAATTTCGAATCAGTCGCACAATATCAACTCATTTCCTGAAAACTATTTCTTATGTGCCTGATTTAGAACTGTCATAAAACGGTAAAAATTTTCTGAATTATTGTTATGAGAGCAGTACGATTCACAGATATCGAAAATCCAGTTCTGTTATGATTGTTTATATGCACGAGAACAAGCTCACATGTAGCATTGATAAAATGCGCAAAAACTGTATTGTAAAACACCTACTTGTCGCAATTTAATTTTAATGTCAAATTTTTATTTTTTTATTAAATGCGTCAATATTCAGATCAAAGATAATGAATGTGTCTTGAGTCATTGCTCCTTGCTCTGTGCATTATTGAAGATCAAAATTTATAAAAATTTTCACCTGATAAACCGCTTAATCTCTGATCTTGTTGTTCGTGTCTACTTGTAACTGATCCAATACCTAAAGCATCTTCCAATTGTCTGCGATATTTTTGCATTCGCTGTAAAAAGTCTTTGTACCTAGAAAAAAAATGATAAAAATTAGACTTTTCCTATGGACTGTTTTTGTTATGCAGCATACTTATACCCCTTTCACTCTAAACAAGGCTCTGTATAAGCAGTCACTGATAAGATAAAACTAGTTTAGTTTGAAAGAACAGGACACTTCCCGATTTGGCATTCCTATCTTGGCAACTACTTCAGTCTTTCGAATACTGAAAATTTGAAATCCGTTGGACCATTAGTAAAGGAAAAGGTGAATTTTATTTTGTACCAAAATATTCGCCCCCAACAACAACAACGATTTAAAAAAAATTATTCGTATCATCACCTTGTGTTCAATAATAACAATGGTAAGTACCTGACATCCACAGCAGTCACCCATGCTTTAAACTGTGAAGAATGAGGACTTCCACGCTCGACAAAAATATCGGCAAGTTCTTTCAAAATTTTTGCACTTTCGTTCTTTTCCTAGACAGAAAAAAATTCAAAATCATGATGTAAAATGTTGCAATAAAATCAAAAATTGTGATAGAAGTAAATAACACAAAATGTTTTACTTCTTAGCTTATGTATAATTCACACAGAATCTGAAAATAACAATGAAATAGGATGAATCAATGATATTCAAATTCACATCTCAAAAAATTTTTCGAACTTCATTAACTGTAATTTCAATTAATCCGCACTCAGTAACTTCGGACTATCATTATAAATTTTAATCCAAAAATACCTTTGCTTCTTGTTCAAACTTGAGGTGTTTGTCATAAAACCTTTGAGTCTCTTCTCTCGTATTTCCAATGCCAGCATTCGAGTCGAGATATTTTTCACCTACAAACATAAGGAGTAAAAATTTCAATATGATAATGGACGGATAAAATGGAAAATAAATAAACAGCTGCGCCTAATTAGCTTATTCCAGAGCTTCAGGAAAATTATTGACTTTGAATTGAGAAAAATTTTGGCCACAGGTTGAAAAAAAACTTTACTCCGGGAATAAAAAATTTTGATCCAGACTCCAGCTCAAAACTGAAGTTGACTAGAAATTTTTTGACTGTGAGTGGATCATTGCAATTTTTAGGGGGCTTTCTCATATCTTCGCTCCAAACAAGGCTCTGTAAAAGCTGCATTTGTCCATGACAGGAGCCATGGAGAAGTGGAATCTCTCTAATTTATCATTACCTACCTATGATGTGGTGGGCATGAGATTTGAACCAAAAATTTTTATGCACAATACACACACGGGCGCTCCTGAAGTATACGAACCAAGATGGCGGACATCATAACGTAACATGGGTAACAGGTTAGGGTTAGGCGATAATTTTTTTCCAATTTTCCTTATTTTAGTCCTATTATCAGTTCGAAGACTAGCCAAGAGCCTCCCGTAGTATTTATACCTAAAATTATGGCCTAACCCTAACCTAGTGCACATATTACATTCCGATGTTCGCCATCTTGGTTCGCATACTTCGGGAGCCCCCACACACGATTAACGCATCTTGTCAAACTAGTTAGATACACTTTCTGTTCAATTCAATTCTATAATAAATATGTACCTGCTTCTTGTACCCAATCCAAAGCCATTTTTGCACTTTTTTCAAAAGTAACATATTGTTCCCATTGTTCCAATCGTTTCTTTTTACTCGTCCAAAACTGAAGGACTTTGTTTTCTTTTTGCAGAAGTTCTTGAAGAACACCTAGAAAGATAGAAATAATTCAATAAAAACAATACCAAATACCACAAGATTCCTGGTATATTCATTTCATTTTTTTACAATATTCAATAAAGGAGCTACAATATTCTGGATGGACATATTCTTTCTAATTCAGCACTGCCTACAAAATTTATTACATCTTGAAGGGGTCGGCATGGAATTTAAACCACAAATCTTCAGTGCGTAACACAAATGACACACACTGGTATTTAAAATGTCTCAGCTTAGCACAGAGTGCGCCGCAAAAACTGATGAACAAGTATTACTTAATAAATGATCCCACACATCATAAAAAGTGTACCCATGAGTTGAAAAAAAAAATAGTAAAATTTGTTGTAAAATAACCCATAGGACTCAGAGAAAATCATATGCACATTTAAATTACTGCAACAACTAATACAACAAAATTTGAAAAAGCAATACAAGAAAATAAATTAATTAGTACGGACACCTTTAGATTTCTTGAACCTGCTCGATAATCTGCATCTCATAGAAGTAACTGATAAAGATTTCTTTGTATTTTTTGATAAATACATATCTATGTTAATGTTGTTAATAGCTAAATCATACAGACTTCCCAAATGATAGTTTAATAACAATGAACTTAAAATCTATTTATCTTTAGGTTCTCCATCAGCAAGAGTACTCAAGACGAGATTGAGTCCTTCAAATCTTCTCAGAAGCCTACTACTCGATTACTTTTGAGTACTGCTTTGGAGAATAATAAATTGAAGATACTAAAAGTCGTATCAATTCATGAAACTTAGCAACAACTTTGAAATTTTTGTCTATCTCAAGCGAAACGAAATAGTATACACTGTGCTTTTTCTGTACATATATAACTTTCATACTGCTGATGGATACCAAATTGGCTACTTTACTGAGGGGCCTAACTGCGGAGATTGCATGGGAAGTCACAAAATTTTTGAACCCTCTCCTTTTATAAGGCCTGGTTTTGCCCTTGACTGAGGGTATGGTACACTATGATAGTGTTCATATCAGACTAGAGACATAGAAATAAGCGGAATTTTCGATAAACCTGTTTATTAAATTAAGACTTTCCAGTAAATGACAACAACCTGTCATTTGAAATTCCAATTCCTGTGAAACCACTACCTCAAAAACACTTTTACAACTGTGGTGGTATGAAAACAAAACAACTGCATATCGGAAACAACAAATTTGATTAAAATTTCAAAAAAGCCGAAAGAAAATTCTCAGATATCCTCAAAAACTACCTAAGCGTTCATTAAATATGCAGGACCCAAGGGAAGAGAAGGCAGCACTTAGAGCATGGCAGATTATAATGATATACGATGGAAGAAACAGTCTCGTAATAAAAAGGTTTTTTAAAGCTTGGCATAAGATACAAATCCTTTTGTTTTGTTTTTTTAATTTGAAAGATTTTAATTTAAGTCAACGTTTTGGCCAACCCTAGAATTATCTTATAAAATATTGAAATTGACACAAAAGGAAGTTCAAGACCTTGGACAATGGATACATGACTGAACATGTGCCATAATCTTTTCTGGATCGAATTAAAATATGCAATTTCATGCCTCAAACTATGATCTACATAGACACTAGTAACAAAATTAGTGTTACAATAGAAATGCTTAGAAAACCAAGTTTTGTTGATCATGTTATTAATGTTGGAGCATTTTGGAACGTCAGACCAGATTATTGAATAGTGTAAAAAATTTCTTGCTTTCATTTCTCGATTTTAAGAAATTATCAGAATAGTTTTATTTGAAAAATAATCATTTAATGCAATTAGAATTTACCAGTATGGTTGGCATTTCTTAAAGTTTGTAAAAACTATTAAATGCATTGGATATACAGTGATCAAATATAAGATTATATTCGGTGCTCTTCATTCAAAATATTGTTCCAGAATATATTCGGAATACCATATTATTCGGTTTTGGAAATTCCTTTTTACTTCAAATTTTAACTTTGAAGAGTTAAGACATTGGCCTGTACTTCTGAGGAACACTCATTCAATAATAAAATAAAATCAGCAAAATTTATTTGAAACAGAATTTAAGAACAAAAAACTATTCAAATACATTTATTCCAAACGCCATTTACTAACACTACACAATAGGTAGTAGATTATATTTACAAAAAATCAATTCGCATTAGTTACGCTGACCTGCAACACGAAAGTTGACATAAAATATCCATTATGGCCACGCAAACTTTTTATATGTCTGCACGGAAACTGCCATGCAGCAACGCAAAATAGCGAAATGTGGGTTGACGAGCCCCCATGGGTATGAGAGAAATGTTCGAAGAAATTGAAAATAACAATTACCCAAACAACACAATTTAATAATAAAATCCATAAAGTATGTATACAGTTATTTTAGTTATTTTTTATTACATTTCAAGCAGCTAGGAAACTAAGTAAAATTCACACTAGATTTATTATCTAAAAAAATAAGCAATATTTGTGGTACTTAACACTTTTGCGCCACCCTGTATATTTCATTTGCAATAAAAATGTGTCCTGATATTTTACATCGCGAGTATAATACTACCTACGACTTGCTAAATAACAGTTCAATATGGTATCGGTAAATACGAAACAAATAACGTAAATCAACTTACGTCGAATACTTGATTTAGGATTCTTTGCTCTCTTTCCCATAGCGTCTTTATAAGCTTGTGATGTGGCTGAATTATCTGTATCGGATTCACCATGAAAGTATGGTTTCATTCTTTGTGCACATTTATTAAAAATATCTGCATGTCGTCGAGCGAAGGTGCATGCTCGTAGAAAACTTTCTTTTTGTTCACCATGTTTTTCTAGAAAAAAAAAAAAAATATTAAAAATCAGCGGAAAAAGAGGTTACTCTAGGAATTTTGCGAGTTGGCACTTTCAAACTAGTATACATGTTTCATAACTATTATTTTGTTGCAAAGCACTCAACCTACTGTCATTTAAATGTACTGATAGGTAAATTCGAACTAGTAAACTAAAACTTCTTGGAAGACATGTTATGAAAGTAAACAGGTGAACACGAGAACAAACAGCCATACTTGCAACAGAAATAGATCCTTAGAACTTAAAAAAGAATTACTATTAAAATTAGTCCGATATACTACATACCGAGTAAAGATTTAACGTCATCTAATTCAGCAGATGCATATCTTTCATTAGTAGGATAATCATTCTCTCTCTTGTAGTCGACTTCAAGACTGTCGAGAACTGTACAAACCTAGAAAATGGTTATTATTTATAAATCTGGATTTAGAAAACTCTTGTTAAATTAGGGGTTCGACCGGGGTAAATTTACCCAGGGCTGTGAAGCCAGAGTCGTGAGTTGGGATCAAATTTTTAATTTTTCGAAAAACAGAAGTCAGAATTTCAGACTTTTAATAATGATAAACGATGTCAGAATTTAGAACAAAAACTCAAAAAGAATGAAGCTGCTTTCTCAAGCAATTTCGAAATACAAATAAAGAAGGGTGATAAGCACCAAAGATTGGTTTTTTTCGGAGTTAAGAAAGAAAAAATTGAGTACAACATTTCTTACAACTGAGAGTTACCAGTCAAAATCCAAATTTTTGTTATTTTTTTTAAATGGCTCGAATTTGGTGTCTGGTGTAATTTGCCAACGACTCCACAGCGATGTTCAGAACATAATCTTACAATTTAAAAAAAAGTGAGTTTTCAATCACATCATATCTACAATAAAACTATACCTCTTCTGCCGTTTTATAAAAAACAACAGCCGAATGGACCAATCTTGTTCTATCCTCTAGGTGGCGTGCTGTTCTTTGCCATTCAGCCACTGTTCTTTCAGCGAGTTCTCGAACTTTTTCTGAATCTCTGTATAATTGTGATCGTTGATCGAGGGATCCACCTTTCCTTTGTAGTAGTTGTTGTTGCTTCAATAACTGATCGGCTTTTGATTGGACTTGTTTGACGCTGTTTCTTGTTTTCTACAAAAAAAAAAGATTATTGCGAAACATGAAGTTTAGCTGAATTTGCATTGTTGGGGAGACTCAAGTTATCTACTCGTCTCAAGTCTTATTTTTGATGAACTGGGCCAGTTATATAGCGATATCACTTGACTGGAACTTGACAAAACAGCAGATTTCCTCACGCTTAGCACAATGCCAATTGCTGGGTCATTTATTTTTTGAAGTTTACCAAAACAATATTCTGTTTTTTCTACAAAAATGTATAAATCAAATACCTCAATGGCATCGGTACATTGTTGATGTTTTCTTTCACAATCTTCTGCATCGTTCAAATTATTTAACGTTAATTGAGATGCTTGAATTAAATTTTCACCATCTTGAATACATCGCATTACCTGAAATATATCAACATACAATTTAGCAAATATTTGAAATTATGGGAATTACAAAAAGATACAAGTTGAGCTAGAAAATTTGAGGTGGCATTTAAAAATAAAAGTAATTTCAGTAAATGGTGCTGACAACAACTTTCATTGCACTAAAATTACCAGACCTTGCATTGAGCATTTTGACCAGACCAGACCTTGCCCAAATCATTTTTTGCACCCCCTGCCCTTGGAGAAAGCAATGAAAATTTCCCACAACTACATACAAAATCCATATTTATTGTATTTGAAATATCTAAACTATGAATTGTTAAAATAATTTTAATAGGTTCCATCCCCGTCTCAACAATATCAGTTGCCAATTAAGTACTTTTATCAATGTAGCCATTGCAAAAAAAGTTCGACCACCCCTGTTCTAATTATTATTAACTATTAGCGACTAATAACTTATCCAACTTATAAGTTTAGTACTAAACATAAGCAGCTGATTCGACGTTCCAGAAGTTTGTGTACCATTATGAAGGGTAACTAATTTTGTTCGCCTACTTTACATCAAGTTGTGTAAAGGGACTAAAACCTATGGGCAGGGAGTATATTCACTTGGCTAACACAGACAGACCCCAACTCTTAATAGAACTAAAATAAGGAAAATTAGAATAAAATTATGGCCTGACCCCAACCTGGTACACACACTATGGGAGTACCGCTAACTCCATATTACAGATCTATCAAATCCTTTCTAGCATAAACATTACATCGAATCTATTAGGCTTACCTGAGATACTTGTGAATCCAAATGTCTGAGTAATAATTTTTGTGCCAAAATAATCCTATGTCTTTCCACTGCCTCATCCATCTCATGTAAACTCTTTTGCACAGCTTCACACAAGTGACGAATCCTATCACTGGCTGTGGTGTCATCCTCGCATTGTACGTCAAGATCTTAAAAGGAAATATTAGGAGATTAAAAGTTTGTAATATATTCTAAGCTCAATAATGATTTCCTTATATAAGATTATTCTCTCTTTAGGAATATAATGTATAATCTGATGATATGGTACAAAATTTGATGTTTTTTTTTATTTGTATTTTTGCAATTTGCTTCAAAGATGGCCACACGCAGTCACTCAGAAATAAATGAAAGATCTCAAAATGAAGTTGAAGTCGACCTATAAAGAATTTAAGTTGTATGCGTAAATTGCCACGGAACTTGGAAGCAATTCATATTAATGCAATCAGAGAAAGAGCTATGAAGTAGTGAATTCTTTGCAACAGAAGGTCTCGGAAAAACTTCATGCAAAATTTTTTTTATCTCAATTGGTCGAAATCAATTAAATGTTCATGGAACACAAAGTAGGCCATTTTCGTAAAATCACAAAGCTGTTTTCCTGATTGTATCCATTGACTTGATACCTTAAGCTTATAATAAATACAATCCAAAGTTTCAGAATGTCTAATACTGTTTTAATATCCATTTTAACATTTCAATAAAAATTGGAAGACTGGAGTTATTGACTCGACTCGAGTTAAACTAGAGTCATTCATCATTTATCGAATATTCGAATTAACTTTGAGTAGATGAATAAAATTGGACTTTGACTTTGAATTCAAATGACTTGCGAGTTTGGGTTTAGGGATTTCCACCCAAAACCGGCTTACTACTCTTCTATATCTAGTTTATACAGGGTGGCGCTAGAAAAGCAAAAATTTTGAAAGTTAGATGAGATCACCAATAAAATGCCTCCACAATTTAACCTTCAAAACGCTACACGAGCTTGGACTTCTAGGTTAGGACACTGCTCTGAAGTGCACAAACAACATTTTGAGCATCTATGAGTGTAATATAACATATTTGTAAAAGCTTTTCTTTGTAAAAATGAATAGCTGTTTGACAAATTTTCTGTTTTTCCAGCGACCACCTTGTATTATTGTACAATACCTGAATTCTCAATCTGAGCACAAAGTTCTCTTCCTTTCGCTAAGATATCGTTAGTTTGTATTCTCATGGTATGAGCGTTGCGATCAACTTGCGAAATTCTTTGCTCAATGACAGAAACGTCTTCAAATGAATCGATATCAGCAACAGATACTTGTCGTACATCGGCGGACCAAGAATCTAATTCCGTAGAAACCTTGAAGTAAAATAAAAATAAATGTTATTTCAGAGTAAAACCAACCGTGGAGAGAAATTTGAAAACATCAGACCACCCATATAAAAGGCACCACGAAAATAACAACAAACCAATAATGGTAAAACAATAGAAATTAGACTTGTGCTGTCGGTAAACTAGATAATCGAAAACTCCTCAGCAGTCAGCACCATATCATTATTGTAATTAGTCATTTTTTATTGAGTTTCAACATCTTCGCACTAAACAAGTAACTACAACAGGGTTGGGCAAGATTTTGGATCAGTGGCCAAAAAGTTTGCCCACCTAGACGACGGCCATGTGAGTGTGACATAAAAAGTTACATTTTATGAACATTGTTTACAGTGTTACAAACGCAAAAATGGAAAACAATAATCTCAACGAATTCCCTAAGTTATTTTTATGCTGAAACATCAAAATTTGGTTTTACTTTGGTTAGGGCAGCATGATGCGGGCTAGATTGAATTCCTGATGGGCCGGATTTGGCCCGTGGGCCGTAGTTCGCCCATGTCAGAACTACTACAAAAATTCTGTACATTCTGAGTGAGTGTGTGGAGTAGTGTGAGTGAGTGAGGAGGTCACATGGTTGTTAATATGTAGGAATAACATGGTTAATAGTATGTTTCTTTGCCCCAATGCAACATCTCTTTTGTTTTAAGTCAATTACTATATTGTTGCTACCTAATTATTGGACATGTCGTGGACCTATGGATTGTTACTTATCGATCTTAAGATCGGTAAGTATATTGATAGGTATTTGTCTGTATGTATGTATGTCTGTATGTATGTCTGTATGTGTGTATGTCTGTCTGTTAGATGCACACAATATCTCACGAAGGCGTGGTTGAATCTGTTCCAAATTTTGCATGTGCATTCATCATATCTCGGACCAGAAGCCTATTGATTTTGGATGAATTATGTCGTATAATTAGCGAGTTATTAATTAATTAGTGATGAAGAGATCTGGATTTTCACAAATCGAGAGATTTTCGAGACGCGCTGAATGTGTGTGTGCGTATCAGATGCGCAAGTTTTCACGCTAGTGAGTCAGAGCGAAGGATACACACCGCTAGATCGTATCTCGTGATTAATCTTTGAGCCTTGTCCATATCTCTCTTGTAACTTTGACGTCGTCGCGATGCGCAAGTTTCCTTCGAGTAATTTTCCACACTAATGAGTCAGAGCGAAGGATACACGCCGTGAGATCGTATCTCGTTACTTATAATTACTCCTTAAAGTTTAAGCAATGTCCATATCCCTAAATCAGGTTCGGGGTTGCAGAATTCCTCACCAAAATATCGCTAGGCTGTGTTTGAATAGCCGTCGCAACCTGGGTTAGCGCCGTTGTATTTAACACAAACTATAGGATTGGTAAATACAGAAATAGGCTATTGGCTGGAAACTATTCGAACAATCCAGTTCGGATTTGCAGAATTCTTCATAAAAGTATTTCCTCGAGTAGTATTTCGACGACATGGGGAGTTGGCTATTGTTTCCTACATTTCTGATACTGGCTGAAAACTAATCAAAACAATCCAGTTCGGGTTTGCAGAATTTTTCGAATCGAAACCGCAGTTTCTGTTTTGGGGGATCCCCTAACTTTCGATCGATAAGTCTTCGGTCTCTGACCGATATTCTCGTTTTGTTATTATATTGTTGTTGTTCTTTGCGTTACCTCCTATCATTATGAAAAAAATGGCCACTACTGGACCAATTACTTTGAAATTTTCAGGGGTGAAAGACTTTTTTTGCTGGAATGCTATCACTTTTATTCATTTCAAAATTTTCTATGAATCCTATGAGATCTAACATAAAGTGTACCTCGACTGCGTCTCTTTCAAATGCTCTCAACTGGAGTTGAGAATCGAGGCGTACTTCTCTCTCGGCACATGCGTCTTCTAATGTAGCTCGTTCTTCGTCTAATTGTCTTAAAATACTGTCGACATGTTGAATGGAGCCACTAGATTGTGTCGCACCGCCAGAAGTTGGAGTTCCTGATCGACCACTCGCACCAGAATTACTGGTCTGATCTATAGATGAATACCTGGAATAAAAAGAAAAATGTCACGCAACAAAAAGAACGAAAAACTAAATAAATGAGAATGATATATAATACCTCTTAAATCCCTGTCTCTTTTTGAATAGAGATATGTTTGTAATAGTTATGAACAAATCCAGCCAGAAAATTAGAAATTGTTGATTCTTGATACTCAGTATCATGGGTTTAAAGTCTTGGATTCATTACCTTATCCCCTACCTCCTTAGGAGTCCTCACGGTTACAGAGTCAAGTTATTAATCAAAAAGTAGTTAATGAGGCGATCATGGTTATAAAGAACTTACTTTAAATTTTGCAGAAGGTGTTTTCCTTCTTGTTGTGTTGCGATAAATGTTTCAATTAATTTATAACGAACTCTTCGAAATTGGTCAACACCCTCCTCCGCTAGTTCTAATGTTGAGGCAATTTCAACGCTGTGCATTTCACGCTTGACAGATTCTAGCCAAGTCCAGAGCTTAAAATAAAAATATGTTAATGATCTAAAAAATTGTGCATATAGGAAGTAGGAATGAAAAGTTATAACTTAGTATGGCTAAATTTAAATAGCAATGATAAAATATATAGACATGGGGTAAATAGACTATGACAATGTACCATGATCAAAATTTAAAACTGTGAATTTAAAAAAAGCAAAGTTATGATGAATAAAAATAAATAAATATATGATATGAAAAATGAAAAAATAAGATATATAGCCTTTTAGCGACTCCTTCCATTCCTAAATACTGGAAATTTGAAATAGATTGGTGCATTAATTGCGGATAAAAGTAATTTTTCTGAGCAACAAGAAAAAAAATTTAGAAAAATAATATTTATTGTCATAAATGCTTGAAATAACAGTTATACTGCAGTATAAGATTTTGTAAATCAAAACCATTTAAAACATATGTAACTTGATAACATTTAGTCATCAAGATCCATTTACATATTTCAAATAACAAATATTACAAAAAAATTTCAGGAATTCTGAAACACAACAAGAACATTGAAAACTATACTTTCCTATTAACGACCATTAATTTATTTATACTATATTCAATCATGGTCCGAAGAAAAATAGCATATAGATTAAATTACTTTATTCGGTAAACAGTTTTTCTAGTAAAACACGACGAGTTACCTCTTTAACGTGTGTATAGAATGACACTGACATATCCAGAAGCGTTCGTCTTCTTTCAACACGTTTAACGAAGTCATGTATTCTCTCTTCCAAATGTCTCGCGACCTGAAAATAAAAATATACCACTGGTCTTTACCCCATTGAAAATTCTCGAACTTTTAGAGACAGGTTCAAAGGGTAGTATAACTACACCTGCCCACTACACTTGCTTACAATTTTGTCAAAATTCCCGTTTAATCAGTAAAATCCAGGTGTCTCAAGGATGTCGTATCCCATTAGCCCCAAAGTCCAGAGTTTGGGCAGATATATATTGAGGGCAAATAGTTGAAGTAAGCATATGGAGTGGAATTTATGCTATGTCCTGGGTTAGTGAGGATATAACATTTTTCGTAGAAAGTTAGGATTTATATGATGTGAGTTTCGTACAATTGGGCAAGATACAACATTTTTGAGACACTCGTAAAGAATTGAATTTTTCATAACAAAAATCTGTTGCTATAAAACATATTTTTGAATATTCCAAATCGAAATTAAAGAAAAATTCCTAGCCAATATAACTATTCGGATTTAGAAATCTCAGAAAATAATGAACATGAACCAAAGAAGCTAATTCGCATTCCCTGTATGTAAGGGATCGCACACATAAATAAAACTTGAAAAAAATGTGATCGATTTTACCCATAAATTAGCTTAGAGATCAAAATGAATCCGATTACGAAAATTTTAAAATAATTCCTACCTGGAATATTTCGTGTGGATCACAATCTCCATTTTGAGCAAGTTGTTCTGCAGCTTCTAATAATTTGTCTGCATTCGTGTATGTGTTCTGAAATAAGATCACAGGATGAAAAACATGATTTGATAAAGGAATAATATTGTGATTGGAGAGCCTAAAAGAAACCGACGGCGTTTCTACCAACTCTCAATATTTCAAACCTTAAAAAGGACCAAAGAAGTTGGTAAACCACAATTACGAGCAAGCCTAGTCACAAGTCATCTGAATCTCAAGTTGAGTAGGAGTGCAAAGTTGAGGCAATCACCAAGCCACATCTCAAGGGCGGTTTGTGAGTATGGGTTCAAGACACTTCAAGTCTTGGGTGACTGGAGTATAACTTCAGTCAATCAATGAGACCCCCCAAATACTGCATACAACTACCATTACTACTTTTATAGTAATATCAAAACTGGAACAAAACCATATGAAACGTAAAAAGTTGTAGTTTAAAAAGTTCCTTTTTGATATTCTCAATAACAGTATGATTATTTGATTAACTATATTACTGCTTTTGTTCTACAGTGTTCCACATGAAATCAATAAGCACTGATATTTGAATAACATTAAACAGTATTGCACGTCATTCGTCACAGTACTCTTATCTGCGAGACAATATGACAACGACGAGTCACAAACTTCCGTAAATACCGTTCAAGTGTTTGCATGGGTTAAATATCGAGGTTTTTGAATAGATTTCATACAAGGTTTAATGATAAAACTGACATCTTTGATATCTTCTATAATTATGGTAGGAGGCATACATAATATATTTGTTTTTAGCAAAATCTCAAAGCCATGAAGTAAAAATGTGAAACATACTGATAAAACACTAACACACAACCATTGAGATCTAATTGCTATTTATAGGTCTAACCTTGCGACAAAAATGTCAGTATATAGCTAAACGGTGGGGTGCGAGTTAAGTCGAGTATAAGGAATTCCGTTATTTTATCAAAATAATTGAGAAACAAACCATCAAGTCATCGTGGACAGCAGACTCAATTCGTTTCAAGTTATCCATCGGTAAGATAGATTCCGACATTGTGTTAGTTTATATACATATATTTAGTAAGAAACAATAGAAACATGAAAAATGAAACTGAAATACAAGAAAACATATCTCATTATGTAATAATAAAATAACAGCAAAGCCAAAACATAAATCTTGAACATCTTAAGTCAGATATGTTTAATATTTAGCATTAATCCGTAAAAATCAGCTCACAGCTGAGAACTGAAAAAAAAAATGGAAGCAGACTGTGCAACCTTTCTCTCGTTCCAAACAATGTTTTCATATGATGACACCCAATTTATTGCAAAATATGCAAATTCTTTGTCTATATTTCGTTGCTAGCACCGTAAAAAGTAAAGGTAAGACGCCAGTTTGTAAGTAAACTCTTAAAACTTGGGAAGACAATTTGAATTGCTAACAAATTAATATACGATACAAACACTGCGAAGACTACAAAGATTCAACTAAGTTTGTCCCTTGCTAGAAAATGGTATATTAGCAGCTAAATATCTCATCATCCATCCCTGACTTCTGAGTATATACACAAGATATTATACTGTAGCAACATTATCTAAAAAAAAAAGTACTGCGAACTCACTTTTTAAATTATATACATCTGTTTAATTTCATTTAATAAACAATAATCAGTTTACATGGAAAGATTTCAAATGCCCAGACACTGACTAACGTACATTTGCCATAAACATAACCACATTCTCTTATATCTTCAGAATAAGGTAATCACTAATGGAAACACTAGTTAAATATGACTCATGACACATCACAAATGTATGACATAAACTGGTTTCTCTCTTATCACACCACTTCCCTAAACGCCTACAATTTAACTTCATCTTATAAATTAGCCTATGAGATTAAATATGAAGTAGATAAAATAAGGCCTATTTGAATACTGCCAAATTACAGTTGTGGATATATATATTCTTTAAACCAGTGGTTCTCCAACTATCATGATCCATGGCCCATTTCAAGGACTCATTAACTCTTGTGGTCCTTTGCTTGTGTCCTCCGCAGAACCACTCCACAGCCAGCTAGAGGGTTAGAATCTAGTTTGAGGAACTGCAATGAACTCAAAAATGATCCCATTTAAATTCAAACTTGTAGGGAAAACATTCCTCAAAATTGCTTGCTTTAAACATTGCAAGCCAACCATACAATATCACACAATGACCATAATGATGAATGAATAAAATGATGTAACCAACATTGAATGAGTATTCAATTATAAAACTTCTGTATAATTTACGACACGCATTCCACTCAGTAATATACAATTTTATTATTGAATGCAATCAACATATTACAAAGTTAAGTCTAATTTTTTGAATAAATTTATTTAAAAGTTTGTCTACAGAATGACTGTGTAATTTGTTATTGCAATACCAATACGATTACCATGCCAATAAAAAACTTGAAAGTTTCGATTAAATGTAAAATTTGACAAGTCTATTGCAAAAAATGATTTGTATCAAGCTAAAAGAAGTCACCTAAGTCAGACTAAATGACTAATGGTCATTTTGTAGAAAACCAACTCAAAATCAGCTTTTTGTATACAGCATTATTCATAGCATCAAAAAGGTACTGCCAACCAAGGAAAATAATAGATGATGATATATCAGGCAATAAACGTCTCTTACAGTAAGGTGCACTCCCAGTGTGTGTACCAGGTTAGGGTTAGGCCATAATAATAATAAAGTATATTCTATTACGAGTTCGAAGACTGTCTGTGTTAGCCAAGTGAATTTACCCCCTGCCCAAAGGTTTCAGTCCTTTTTCCCAACTTGATATAAAGTAGGCGAACAAAATTAGTTACCTCCATATTGGTACACACACTTCTGGAGCACCGAGAAACTGTAGCATGATATTCTACATGAACATTCCAACTATGATTTACTCAAATTATTCTAATGTACCGGTATATGAAAATCCCAACATAAACCAAAACCGTGCAACCTCCAAAAACCTTTATACTTTGCTATATTCTCAGTCATGTAACTCATACAATCACATGACACTAAGACCTACGAAATTTATAGACCCAGTAAACCACGAAACACAATGAAAATATTTATTTTAAGTATTTAATTATATCAGTCATAAACTCAATCGCACATTTACAACACTGTCTTGTCAGATAATAAAGCAAACAGAATAAGAACAAAAAATTAGTGTAGGAAAAATTTCAACCATAAATTGCAGTGAATTTGGTATTTAATGAAAAAAATTTTGATACCAAAGGTATAAACTTGAATCAAAAAAGTATGAAAGATGGGTGAAAATATTATTTAAAACATAAAATTATATAAACAATATTCCAAATAATAATAAAAAATTGAACTTTGATCAAAAATCAATCAAAATGATTCTATAATTAACCGTAATTCTTTATTATAATAAATACTGTCGAAATAATAAATTGTCGAAACGTGAAATTTGGTCTCCCAATAACAAAATCATCAGAAATACCTATCTCTAGTATTTTCCATCATACCTACCAAATATCATCCATTTTTTTCAAAAAATAACAGCACTTCAAAAAGCATACCAATTTAATATTACTGATACATCTTTAACTAAGAACATTAGAAACATAATCTGAATAAGTTATAACACCACATATCTCAAGAACAACAATTATTCTACTTTAGGTCCTATAAAACATAACCTACGCTAACATAAGATCTGGAACTATAATCAAACATAACGACATTACTGCGATGTCACATATCTTCGAGCGATACTTTTGTCATTAAAAAACATTTTATTCATGATGTCGTAGTGGAGCAAGTTTGGTAGATAAATGGTAATTGAGGATAAGATTGATCGATGCTCAAGTTCGAACGAACATAAACTGGCTATATTTTGTGATCACTGCAATAGATCTCTTTATCTCGTTCAATGTCAGTATCAAATTGCGAGACGCAATGTCATCGTCGCAAGTTCAAGGGAATTCCTGTATAATAGTTAATGTGATGGCCTCGCGCAGGGGGTTCTCAATCTTTTAGTGTTACAGAGCATATAAAGAGGTTGACTATTGTTTACGGAAATCCCCCAATGCCCCTATACCCCACCCCCCAACCCCAAAGTGAATTTGTAAAAGAAAAACGTTGTTATTTATATGTACTGATAAATATTCCAGGGTGAACTAAATTTTCTTAGTTAAAATGATTGAGATGTATTTGCTGCTTTGTAAATAAAAAATATTCAGTATTCTAATAAGTAACAAATAGCTCGCGGATTCACTAGGTTTTTTCTTTCGAATCCTCAAGGAGCACTTTGGGAACCCATGGCCTAACGAAGCGTTAGACTCAACTGTGTAGACGATAAAGATTACCCACCATTGGCTATCAAACTCTATCCCTGAAACCTTATCCCTTATTATTACAAGAATATATACATAAAAAATCTCAAAGTCAAAATTTCATTACCGGCACATAGAAAAATTTCCTAATGTTAGAAAAATTGTAAATCCTAAACTGAAACACTTTCACTATCTGTTCTTCGAAAACTTCGCTACCAATCACTCAAACGATAAAATCTAATGAATACAACTTATCTCTTCAATGAATATAACATACTACCTACTCAATGTTCTCGTGAACCAAACTATTTATCTTGCTACACCTGACAAAGTCAACATTGAGGAATTAGGGTATTCGCAAATCAAATTCAATGAAAAGCAAACATAATATATCAATACTATGCCTTTTCATTTAGAACTATCGAAAAAGTTGAAAAAAACAAGCAAAATTGCTAAGTAACCTATGTAAGTTTCCTATGAGGAATTAGGGTATTCGCAAACCAAAAACAATGAAAAGCAAACATAATATCTTAATACTATGCCTTTTCATTTGGAACTAACATAGAAAAATAACACCCCATAAGTTTATAAAATATAAATCGCAAACTTTCATTTCATAAACAACATAATGCTAAAGATTGTGAAATTAAATTATTTTACAAAATTTTCAACAGCAAATTAGCTAGACGAATCAGTATATAATACCACAGTACTTAC